ACAGTCCATTTATTTATTCAATACGTTGAGTGAGATAGCGTTAGAAACGCGAATAAAAAAACTATAATATCTAAATGGACAAGAAGTGGACAAGTGCTCCCACCGATGCTCTACCTATAAGCTCAGCTATTTTTAGCTGTCTCATGGACGCCCGAGAGCCCGAGAACCACTCGTATTTGCAAGATTTACTAAAATGTAGTTATGCAAGGCCTGCCCTAACCTAGAAAAAGTTGCGTCTAGTGGTAGTTTCAGGTCTTTGAAAGGACCACTGGAGCTGCTCGCTTCGAGTGATAGAGGGCTGAGATTGTAGAAATGAGTAATCTCAACCGCGGCTCTGCCGCCAAGATTTACTAAAATGTAGTTATGCAAGGCCTGCCCTAACCTAGAAAAAGTTGCGTCTAGTGGTAGTTTCAGGTCTTTGAAAGGACCACTGGAGCTGCTCGCTTCGAGTGATAGAGGGCTGAGATTGTAGAAATGAGTAATCTCAACCGCGGCTCTGCCGCTGGGAAGATTGTTAATCGTGCACGAATCGAAAAAGTTTCGTCTAGACTGAAAGAAAAAACAATGATTCTACCTTATTTCGGCCTCCTCTTGCCACTTCAGTACACAGAAACCCCCTTGACGGAACAGCATTTTTTTAGCGTAGCCATCTTGAACGTTCTCAATTGCAACAATGCATACTTGTTTACTAGTATACTTGTTTTGTATACATGAGTGAGTACATATTATCATTTGCCGGAACCTCAGAAGGAGGATATGTGCAGTAGGACGCTTTCTTTCGGCTTTGCTTGCAATGAGGAGAAAAATCAAGCTTATCGTTGTGTTGAAACCCAAAATCCTTTACCTCTTCGACTTTGGATATCTGCTTCTCATTTATAAAGCAGGAGAACGTGCCAGGGGGACCCGAGCGCATATGAAAAGATTTGTAGGAGGGTAGAGGATTCCATCAGAGAACCATTGCCCAAGGCTGAACATGCAAGGCTGTGAGGATCGGGCATCCTGAGGAAAGTTCAGGGTTTCATCGAATTTCGAGTCGTGCTGAAGTGCTTTTTTTGTTGAGAACCCCGGCTTAGCGTTCACCTTTCAGACACTGCTGTCTTTCCTGCTTTGGCGTATGCCTCGGAGACTTGGACCCTAGGAAAGCAGGATGAGGATGCTGTCAGAGCATTATTCAATGCGTTTTGAAAAGGACGGGGCTCGGAATTTCCCTATACACGTAAGTGCAGAAGAGACTCCGGAATTCTGAGCTGCGTCGACGAACGAAGATCGGAGGTGCCGTTGATTACGTCAAGAAGTCGAATATCAGGTGGGCTGGACACGCTATGCGATACGTTGAGTGATGACTGTTGGACCAGTACGGTTTTTGGCCAGATTCCTCGGGACATCAAACGAACTCTAAGACAGCCGCCAACGAGGTGGTCAGACTGCTTCACGGAAACTCTGAACAAAAGGAATGTTGGACCTCGTGTCCTTGAAGCGAGGACGATTCACCGGACCACTCTGGCTTATGGCAGGGACGAATGGAGACGTTTCTGGAGTCCGCTCGAAGAAGTCGATGATTGACGGGACGACGGGTGATACAGGTGATGTTGAGAGCTACTCAAATATAAACTACCTGAATATATATTCAGAAGTGTAGGGGATAACCTCCCTGTTTGAGGGTCTCTGCTTACGCAAT